TTTGCACACGCTAGGCCCTTGTTCTTGCAATTTTGCGCACGTTAGGCCCTTGTTCTTGCAAATTTGCACACCCTAGGCCCTTGTTCTTGCAATTTTGCACACGCTAGGCCCTTGTTCTTGCAGTTTCGCACACGCTAGGCCCTTGTTCTTGTAATTTTGCAAACGCTAGGCCCTTGTTCTTGAAAATTTGCACACACTAGACCCTTGTTCTTGCAATTTTGCACACGCCAGGCCCTTGTTCTTGCAATTTTGTACACGCTAGGCCCTTGTTTTTGCAATTTTGCACTTGCTAGGCCCTTGTTCTTGGTGTTTTGCACACGGTAGGCCCTTTTTTTTGCAATTCTCCGCTCGCTGGGCCCTTGTTTTTGCTATTTTGCATACGCTAGGCCCTTCTTCTTGCAATTTTGCACACGCTAGGCCCTTGTTCTTGCAATTTTTCACTCGCTAGGCCCTTGTTCTTGCTATTTTGCCCATGCTAGGCCCTTGTTCTTGCAATTTTGCACACGCTAGGCCCTTGTTCTTGCTATTTTGCACACGTTAGGCCCTTGTTCTTGAAAATTTGCACACGCTAGGCCCTTGTTCTTGCAATTTTCCACACGCTAGGCCCTTTTTCTTGCAATTTTGCACACACCAGACCCTTGTTCTTGCAATTTTGCACACACTAGGCCCTTGTTCTTGCAATTTTGCACACGCTAGGCCCTTGTTCTTGCAATTTTGCACTCGCAAGGCCCTTGTTCTTGCTATTTTGCACACGCTAGGCCCTTGTTCTTGCAATTTTGCACACGCTAGGCCCTTGTTCTTGCAATTTTGCACTCGCTTGGCCCTTGTTCTTGCTATTTTGCACACGCTTGGCCCTTTTTGTTGCTGTTTTGCACACGCTAGGTCCTTGTTCTTGCTATTTTTCACACACTAGGCCCTTTTTCTTCCGATTTTCCATACGCTAGGCCCTTGTTCTTGCAATTTTGCACACATTAGGCCCTGGGGCTTGCAATTTTGCACACGCTAGGCCCTTGTTCTTGCAATTTTGCTCACGCTAGGCCCTTGTTCTTGCAATTTTGCGCACGTTAGGCCATTGTTCTTGCAATTTTGCACACCCTAGGCCCTTATTCTTGCAATTTTGCACACGCTAGGCCCTTTTTCTTGCAATTTCGCACACGCTAGGCCCTTGTTCTTGTAATTTTGCAAACGCTAGGCCCTTGTTCTTGAAAATTTGCATACGCTAGACCCTTGTTCTTGCAATTTTGCACACGCCAGGCCCTTGTTCTTGCAATTTCGTACACGCTAGGCCCTTGTTTCTGCAATTTTGCACTCGCTAGGCCCTTGTTCTTGGTGTTTTGCACACGGTAGGCCCTTTTTCTTGCAATTCTGCACTCGCTAGGCCCTTGTTTTTGCTATTTTGCATACGCTAGGCCCTTCTTCTTGCAATTTTGCACACGCTAGGCCCTTGTTCCTGCAATTTTTCACTCGCTAGGCCCTTGTTCTTGCTATTTTGCACATGCTAGGCCCTTGTTCTTGCAATTTTGCACACGCTAGGCCCTTGTTCTTGCTATTTTGCACACGTTAGGCCCTTGTTCTTGAAAATTTTGCACACGATAGTCCCTTGTTCTTGCAATTTTGCACTCGCTTGGCCCTTGTTCTTTCTATTTTGCACATGCTAGGCCCTTGTTCTTGCAATTTTGCACACGATAGTCCCTTGTTCTTGCTATTTTGCACACGCTAGGCCCTTGTTTTTGCTAATTTTGCACACGATAGTCCCTTGTTCTTGCAATTTTGCTCTCGCTTGGCCCTTGTTCTTTCTATTTTGCACATGCTAGGCCCTTGTATTTGCTATTTTGCACGCGCTAGGCCCTTGTTCTTGCTATTTTGCACACGCTAGGCCCTTGTTATTGCAATTTTGCACTCGCTAGGCCCTTGTTCTTGCAATTCTGCACTCGCCAGGCCCTTGTTTTTGCTATTTTGCATTCGCTAGGCCCTTCTTCTTGCAATTTTGCACACGCTAGGCCCTTGTTCTTGCAATTTTGCACTCGCTAGGCCCTTGTTCTTGCTATTTTGCACAAGCTAGGCCCTTGTTCTTGTAATTTTGCAAACGCTAGGCCCTTGTTCTTGCAATTTAGCAGACGTTAGGCCCTTGTTCTTGCAATTTTGCACACGCTAGGCCCTTGTTCTTGCTATTTTCCACACGCTAGGCCCGCTGTTTTTGCAATTTTGCATACGCTAGGCCCTTGTTATAGCAATTTTGCACACGCTAGGCCCTTGTTCTTGCAATTTTGCACACGCTAGGCCCTTGTTATAGCAATTATGCACACGCTAGGCCCTTGTTCTTGCTTTTTTGCACACACTAGGCCCTTGTTCTTGCAATTTTGCACACGCTAGGCCCTTGTTCTTGCAATTTTGCACACGTTAGGCCCTTGTTCTTGCAATTTTGCACACGCTAGGTCCGTGTTCTTGCAATTTTGTACTCGCTTGGCCCTTGTTCTTGCCTTTTTGCACACGCTTAGCTCTTTTTCTTGCTATTTTGCACACCCCAGGCCCTTGTTCTTGCTATTTTGCACACGCTAGGCCCTTGTTCTTGCAATTTTGCACACGCCAGGCCCTTGTTCTTGCGGTTTTGCACACGCTAGGCCCTTGTTCTTGCAACTTTGCACATGATAGGCCCTTGTTCTTGCAATTCTGCACACGCTAGGCTCTTGTTCTTGAAATTCTGCACACGCTAGGCCCTTGTTTTTGCTATTTTGCACATGCTAGGCCCTTGTTCTTGCAACTTTGCACACGCTAGGCCCTTGTTCTTGCAAGTCTGCACACGCTAGGCACTTGTTCTTGCAATTTTGCACTCGCTTGGCCCTTGTTCTTGCTATTTTGCACACGCTAGGTCCTTGTTCTTAATATACTGCACACACTAGGCCCTTTTTCTTCCAATTTTGCACACGCTAGGCCCTTGTTCTTGCAATTTTGCACACGTTAGGCCCTTATTCTTGAAATTTTGCACACGCTAGGCCCTTGTTCTTGCAATTTTGCACACGCTAGGCCCTTGTTATTGCAATTTTGCACACGCTAGGCCCTTGTTCTTGCAATTTTGCACACGCTAGGCCATTGTTCTTGTAATTTTGCACACGCTAGGCCCTTGTTCTTACAATTTTGCACATGCTAGGCCCTTTTTCTTGCAATTTTGCACACGCCAGGCCTTTGTTCTTGCAATTTTGCACACACTAGGCCCTTGTTCTTACAATTTTGCACACGCTAGGCCCTTTTTCTTGCAATTTTGCACTCGCTAGGCCCTTGGTCTTGCTAATTTGCACACGCTAGGCCCTTGTTCTTGCAATTTTGCACACGATAGGCCCTTGTTCTTGCAATTTTGCACTCGCTTGGCCCTTGTTCTTGCTATTTTGCACACGCTAGGCCCATGTATTTGCTATTTTGCACACGCTAGGCCCTTGTTCTTGCTATTTTGCACACGCTAGGCCCTTGTTTTTGCAATTTTGCACTCGCTAGGCCCTTGTTCTTGGTGTTTTGCACACGGTAGGCCCTTATTCTTGCGATTTTGCACACTCTAGGCCCTTGTTCTTGCAATTTTGCACTCGCTAGGCCCTTGTTTTTGCTATTTTGCACACGCTAGGCTCTTGTTCTTGCAACTTTGCACACGCTAGGCCCTAGTTCTTGCAAGTCTACAGACGCTAGGCCCTTGTTCTTGCTATTTTGCAATCGCTTGGCGCTTTTTGTTGCTGTTTTGCACACGCTAGGTCCTTGTTCTTGCTATTTCGCACACACTAGGCCCTTTTTCTTCCAATTTTGCATACGCGAGGCCCTTGTTCTTGCAATTTTGCACACGTTAGGCCCTTGTTTTTGCAATTTTGCACACGCTAGGCCCTTGTTCTTGCAATTTTGCACACGCTAGGCCCTTGTTCTTGCAATTTTGCACACGCTAGGCTCTTTTTCTTGTAATTTTGCACATGCTAGTGTTGGATGCACGTCATTCTGAGTGCATGTCATCCTAACGTCCTGCCGAGTGCTCGTGCTATTTGTGCTTGCATGATTTGCATGAGCGTATGTCATTGTGCATGGCTGTTGGATATTATCATCTCTGTGTTTTTCTCCAAGTCTAACTGCTTTATCATGCAGGAGAAATCCAGAGCTTTCCAACGATACCAAGATCGCCTTATTCCGACCAAGATCGCCCAAGTTACAAGATTTCCAAGATTTGGATTTCTTATTACCTTTTTGGGGCTATATCTAATTTGGGTGATTACTTGGGACATGACTATAAAGGGATCTTTGGTTGGGTGGTTAGGAAGCCAACTTTGACTTTTGGATTGGGGTGGCTAGAAGTTTTTAGTATGTGTTGCAAATGTTGCAACACCTAGGCAAAATCCAACTAGATTGGATTTTGCATGTGACACCTCAAGGACCTCATGATGAGGGTTGTATCCTTGCTGCTAGGAAGGTTCTTACCATCCTTCCCTAGCTCTTGGAGAACCCCTTCCCTCTCATGGTTCTCTTGGAGGTTCCCAACTCCAAACTTCCTATGCTCTAATGTTTGTACTTCCTCCACCATTCTAGTTATGCGGCTGCTGGACGTTTTTACTTAGTTCTCACTCTATAGACCATCTTAACAACTGATTTAACTTGGAGATGGTTGCTTAGCCTAAGGCGCAACTTCCTACTGAGCGGATTTGCGTTTAGTTGAGAATTAAGTTCGTCGTAAGCTCTCAAAGTGACGGATCCTGAACAGCAAGTGGTATCAGCGCAGGTAGTCAACTTTGAGACGACGAATTGTCGTGAATACTCAACCAATGTTGTCGAGTGAGACCATTTTCTAGTAGCTCGGCTTGCGAACTTTCGATTGCTGGTCGAGTCGCGTTCTAATTCGAAGTATTCAGTCCGCGACGGCGATTTTCGTAGAATCGAAATTTCTGGCAGAATTCTCTCCAAACGATTTCTCAAGTTTCCATCGTTCATAAGGCCTCAATATGGTTGGTACGAACTCCGGAGGTGCTAGTGGCGAGATGGATAGAAGTAGAGAGGCTGGAGAACTGGGGGGAGTTGCTGGTGGAGGAGTGGGGACTCACCAACCAGCCAACCCTATGCTACCTACTTCTTCTACACCATCTCCTAATACCGTGGATCCTGTGAAAGCTTTCTCTATTGAGAAATTCATGGGGGAGGACTACGAGCACTGGAGTTTCCGCATGAGGCTGATGTATACCCAATACAAGCTATTGGATTTGGTGGAGGGGAAGGAGAAGATGCCGGAGGCCGCGGAGCTGAAAGGAGCGTGGATGAAGCGATCGTTCGACGCGTATATGCTCATGGTGCAAGCGGTGGGCGGACGGCAACTTGACCACATCAAGGACCTCTTGGGTGATCCAGAGTGTGGTCCCAAGGATTGGAGGAAGCTTCTGGATGTGCACTCACCGACACATGCTACCGGCATCGTGCTACTCGCGCGGCGGCTGCGCGACATCAAGTTCGTTGATGGAGAGCCGATGCAACCGGTGTTGGATGAGATGCGCGACATCTTCACGAAGCTCCAAGGAGGCGGTGTGGTGTACCCGGAGCTCGTGCAATGCGTGGAGATCGTGATACGGCTGCCGGAGTCATAGTCTGCCCTTGCGATCAACCTCAACTCCCAACAACCCCAATGGAGCGTGGATTACATTTGCGCGCGCATCCTAGAGGAGGACTTGCGGCGGCGGAGTGTGGAGCGCTCGGAGGAGGGGGCTGGCTATGGAGTTGGAGGTGGAAAGAGTGGCTTCAAGAAGAAGTGGAAGGGCAAGAATAAGGATAACCCTAAGGAGGATGGCGGCGGGGGTCAAGGGGAGGTGTGCTTCTACTGCAAGAAGCGCGGACATCGTTGGCGGAAGTGCTACCAACGACCCAAGGATTGGACCCCGCCTTCATCAAGCAACCAGCGTGGTGGCACGAGGAGTGGGGGAGTCATGGGAGCTAGTGGAGAGGAGAAGGATGAGGAGAAAGGCGGCAAATCTGAGGAGCGGAAGGCCGGGTTCTTCTTCTTCGTGAACGAAGGCGCAACCGACCACGCTATGGCAGCCAAGGTTCTCCTACACCCCCTCACCCATTGGGTGATTGACTCCGGGAGCTCTTGGCACATGACTCCCCGTGCGGACCTACTTGATGAGATTCAGCCCGCACCCATCTCTATAGTCACATCCGCGACGGGCGCCAAGGCCAAGGTCATGGGCATGGGATGCGCCAAGTTCATGGGAGCGGATGGAGAGCTCGTGGGGCTGAAGAACGTGCTGTGGGTGCCGGACTTGTGCGCGAACCTGATTTCTACCGGCCGGTTGGGAGATGCGGGTGTGAACACCGAGACGATTGGCTCGGAGCGCTATCGTGCCTACAACGATGAGCGGCTGATTTGGGACCTGCAGTGGAAAGGGGATGTCCACAAGCGGATGTGGCAGATCCCGGTCCTCCCTTGGCGGAAATCGGGCAAGGCGGCAATGGCGGCATCTATGGAGGAGAGCGTTACCGAGGAGGAGCAGCAAGGTGTGCAAGGAGAGGAGCTGATTGGAGGAAGTGCGGCGGTGAAGGCGTCGGCTACCTCGGGCCAAGCGGATTGGGAGACTTGGCATCGGCGGCTCGCACACGTGGCTGTTTCTACATTGGAGGTGATGCACAAGGAGAAGTGCGTGCATGGGCTGCAACTGCAAGGAGATGGCATTCACTATGGCAGCTGTGAGGCGTGCATGCAAAACAAGTTTGCGCGGTTCTCGTTTCCACGTGCAGAGGGATCACCGAAGGCGCCGCTGGAGGTGGTGCACATGGACTTGTTCTTGCAATTTTGCACACACTAGGCCCCAGTTCTTGCAATTTTGCACACACTAGGCCCTTGTTCTTGCAATTTTGCACACGCCAGGACCTTGTTTTGAAATTTTGCACACGCTATGCCCTTGTTCTTGCAATTTTGCACACGCTAGGCCCTTGTTCTTGCAATTTTGCACACGCTAGGCCCTTGTTCTTGCTATTTTGCATACGCTAGGCCCTTGTTCTTTCTATTTTGCACACGCTAGGCCCTTGTTCTTGCAATTTTGCACACGCTAGGCCCTTGTTCTTGCAATTTTGCACACGCTAGGCCCTTGTTCTTACAATTTTGCACACGCTAGGCCCTTCTTCTTACAATTTTGCACACGCTAGGCCCTTGTTCTTGCAATTTTGCACACGCCAGGACCTTGTTTTGAAATTTTGCATACGCTAGGCCCTTGTTCTTGCAATTTTGCACACGCTAGGCCCTTGTTCTTGCAATTCTGCACACGCTAGGCCCTTGTTCTTGCTATTTTGCAGACGCTAGGCTCTTGTTCTTGCAATTTTGCACACGTTAGGCCCTTGTTCTTGCAATTTTGCACACGCTAGGCCCTTGTTCTTGCAATTTTGCACACGCTAGGCCCTTGTTCTTGCTATTTTGCACACGCTAGGCCCTTGTTCTTACAATTTTGCACACGCTAGGCCCTTGTTATTGCAATTTTGCACATGCTGGCTCTTGTTCTTGCAATTTTGCACACGCTAGGCCTTTGTTCTTGTAATTTTGCACACGCTAGGCCCTTCTTCTTACAATTTTGCACACGCTAGGCCCTTGTTCTTGCAATTTTGCACACGCTAGGCCCTTGGTCTTGCAATTTTGCACACGCTAGGCCCTTGTTCTTACAATTTTGCACACGCTAGGCCCTTCTACTTACAATTTTGCACACGCTAGGCCCTCGTTCCTACAATTTTGCACACGCTAGGCCCTTGTTCTTACAATTTTGCACACGCTAGGCCCTTCTTCTTACAATTTTGCACACGCTAGGCCCTTGTTCTTGCAATTTTGCACACGCCAGGACCTTGTTTTGAAATTTTGCACACGCTAGGCCCTTGTTCTTGCAATTTTGCACACGCTAGGCCCTTGTTCTTGCAATTTTGCACACGCTAGGCCCTTGTTCTTGCTATTTTGGATACGCTAGGCCTTTGTTCTTTCTATTTTGCACACGCTAGGCCCTTGTTCTTGCAATTTTGCACACGCTAGGCCCTTGTTCTTGCAATTTTGCACACGCTAGGCCCTTGTTCTTGCAAATTTGCACACGCTAGGCCCTTGTTCTTACAATTTTGCACACGCTAGGCCCTTCTTCTTACAATTTTGCACACGCTAGGCCCTTGTTCTTGCAATTTTGCACACGCCAGGACCTTGTTTTGAAATTTTGCACACGCTAGGCCCTTGTTCTTGCACTTTAGCACACGCTAGGCCCTTGTTCTTGCAATCTTGCACACGCTAGGCCCTTGTTCTTGCTATTTTGCAGATGCTAGGCTCTTGTTCTTGCAATTTTGCACACGTTAGGCCCTTGTTCTTGCAATTTTGCACACGCTAGGCCGTTGTTCGTGCTATTTTGCACACGCTAGGCTCTTGTTCTTACAATTTTGCACACGCTAGGCCCTTGTTATTGCAATTTTGCACAAGCTGGCTCTTGTTCTTGCAATTTTGCACACGCTAGGCCTTTGTTCTTGTAATTTTGCACACGCTAGGCCCTTCTTCTTACAATTTTGCACACGCTAGGCCCTTGTTCCTACAATTTTGCACACGCTAGGCCCTTGTTCTTGCAATTTTGCACGTTAGGCCCTTGTTCTTGCAATTTTGCACACGCTAGGCCCTTGTTCTTACAATTTTGCACACGCTAGGCCCTTCTACTTACAATTTTACACACGCTAGGCCCTTGTTCCTACAATTTTGCACACGCTAGGCCCTTGTTCTTACAATTTTGCCCACGCTAGGCCCTTCTTCTTTCAATTTTGCACACGCTAGGCCCTTGTTCTTGCAATTTTGCACACGCCAGGACCTTGTTTTGAAATTTTGCACACGCTAGGCCCTTGTTCTTGCAATTTTGCACACGCTAGGCCCTTGTTCTTGCAATTTTGCACACGCTAGTCCCTTGTTCTTGCTATTTTGCATACGCTAGGCCCTTGTTCTTTCTATTTTGCACACGCTAGGCCCTTGTTCTTGCAATTTTGCACACGCTAGGCCCTTGTTCTTGCAATTTTGCACACGCTAGGCCCTTGTTCTTACAATTTTGCACACGCTAGGCCCTTCTTCTTACAATTTTGCACACGCTAGGCCCTTGTTCTTGCAATTTTGCACACGCCAGGACCTTGTTTTGAAATTTTGCATACGCTAGGCCCTTGTTCTTGCAATTTTGCACACGCTAGGCCCTTGTTCTTGCAATTCTGCACACGCTAGGCCCTTGTTCTTGCTATTTTGCAGACGCTAGGCTCTTGTTCTTGCAATTTTGCACACGTTAGGCCCTTGTTCTTGCAATTTTGCACACGCTAGGCCCTTGTTCTTGCAATTTTGCACACGCTAGGCCCTTGTTCTTGCTATTTTGCACACGCTAGGCCCTTGTTCTTACAATTTTGCACACGCTAGGCCCTTGTTATTGCAATTTTGCACATGCTGGCTCTTGTTCTTGCAATTTTGCACACGCTAGGCCTTTGTTCTTGTAATTTTGCACACGCTAGGCCCTTCTTCTTACAATTTTGCACACGCTAGGCCCTTGTTCTTGCAATTTTGCACACGCTAGGCCCTTGGTCTTGCAATTTTGCACACGCTAGGCCCTTGTTCTTACAATTTTGCACACGCTAGGCCCTTCTACTTACAATTTTGCACACGCTAGGCCCTCGTTCCTACAATTTTGCACACGCTAGGCCCTTGTTCTTACAATTTTGCACACGCTAGGCCCTTCTTCTTACAATTTTGCACACGCTAGGCCCTTGTTCTTGCAATTTTGCACACGCCAGGACCTTGTTTTGAAATTTTGCACACGCTAGGCCCTTGTTCTTGCAATTTTGCACACGCTAGGCCCTTGTTCTTGCAATTTTGCACACGCTAGGCCCTTGTTCTTGCTATTTTGGATACGCTAGGCCTTTGTTCTTTCTATTTTGCACACGCTAGGCCCTTGTTCTTGCAATTTTGCACACGCTAGGCCCTTGTTCTTGCAATTTTGCACACGCTAGGCCCTTGTTCTTGCAAATTTGCACACGCTAGGCCCTTGTTCTTACAATTTTGCACACGCTAGGCCCTTCTTCTTACAATTTTGCACACGCTAGGCCCTTGTTCTTGCAATTTTGCACACGCCAGGACCTTGTTTTGAAATTTTGCACACGCTAGGCCCTTGTTCTTGCACTTTAGCACACGCTAGGCCCTTGTTCTTGCAATCTTGCACACGCTAGGCCCTTGTTCTTGCTATTTTGCAGATGCTAGGCTCTTGTTCTTGCAATTTTGCACACGTTAGGCCCTTGTTCTTGCAATTTTGCACACGCTAGGCCCTTGTTCGTGCTATTTTGCACACGCTAGGCTCTTGTTCTTACAATTTTGCACACGCTAGGCCCTTGTTATTGCAATTTTGCACAAGCTGGCTCTTGTTCTTGCAATTTTGCACACGCTAGGCCTTTGTTCTTGTAATTTTGCACACGCTAGGCCCTTCTTCTTACAATTTTGCACACGCTAGGCCCTTGTTCCTACAATTTTGCACACGCTAGGCCCTTGTTCTTGCAATTTTGCACGTTAGGCCCTTGTTCTTGCAATTTTGCACACGCTAGGCCCTTGTTCTTACAATTTTGCACACGCTAGGCCCTTCTACTTACAATTTTACACACGCTAGGCCCTTGTTCCTACAATTTTGCACACGCTAGGCCCTTGTTCTTACAATTTTGCCCACGCTAGGCCCTTCTTCTTTCAATTTTGCACACGCTAGGCCCTTGTTCTTGCAATTTTGCACACGCCAGGACCTTGTTTTGAAATTTTGCACACGCTAGGCCCTTGTTCTTGCAATTTTGCACACGCTAGGCCCTTGTTCTTGCAATTTTGCACACGCTAGTCCCTTGTTCTTGCTATTTTGCAGACGCTAGGCTCTTGTTCTTGCAATTTTGCACACGTTAGGCCCTTGTTCTTGCAATTTTGCACACGCTAGGCCCTTGTTCTTGCAATTTTGCACACGCTAGGCCCTTGTTCTTGCTATTTTGCACACGCTAGGCCCTTGTTCTTACAATTTTGCACACGCTAGGCCCTTGTTATTGCAATTCTGCACACGCTGGCTCTTGTTCTTGCAATTTTGCACACGCTAGGCCTTTGTTCTTGTAATTTTGCACACGCTAGGCCCTTCTTCTTACAATTTTGCATACGCTAGGCCCTTGTTCCTACAATTTTGCACACGCTAGGCCCTTGTTCTTGCAATTTTGCACACGCTAGGCCCTTGTTCTTGCAATTTTGCACACGCTAGGCCCTTGTTCTTACAATTTTGCACACGCTAGGCCCTTCTTCTTACAATTTTGCACACGCTAGGCCCTTGTTCCTACAATTTTGCACACGCTAGGCTCTTGTTCTTGCAAGTTTGCACTCACTAAGCCCTTCTTCTTGCTATTTTGGACACGCTAGGCCCTTGTTCTTGCAATTTTGCACACGCTAGGCCCTTGTTCTTGCGATTTTGCACACGCTAGGCCCTTGTTCTTGCAATTTTGCACACACTAGGCCCTTGTTCTTGCAATTTTGCACATGCTAGGCACTTGTTCTTGCTATTTTGCACAAGCTAGGCCCTTGTTCTTACAATTTTGCACACGCTAGGCCCTTGTTATTGCAATTTTGCACACGCTGGCTCTTGTTCTTGCAATTTTGCACACGCTAGGCCATTGTTCTTGTAATTTTGCACACGCTAGGCCCTTCTTCTTACAATTTTGTACACGCTAGGCCCTTGTTCCTAGTGCACACGCTAGGCCCTTGTTCTTGCAATTTTACACATGCTAGGCCCTTGTTCTTGCAATTTTGCACACGCTAGGC